TGTAGACTGGTGAAACCCCTGTGGAAATCAGTTTGGAGATTCCTCAGAAAACTAGGTCTAGAGGTCCCATTCAACCCAGCTATTCCCCTTCTGGGTATTTTCCCAGAAAAGCTGAAAACATCATATCACAGTGATATATGTGCACCCATATTCATAGCAGTGCAATCTGTAGTTGCTAAATTGTGGAAGCAACCCAAATGTCCATCCACTGGGGATTGGATAAAAAAGTTGTGGCATCTTTATATAATGGAATATTACTCAGCTATAAAGAAAAATAAACTCGAGGCTTTTATAGGTAAATGGTCACAACTAGAGACCATAATCATGAGTGAAATAAATCAGACCTGCATGTGTAAGCAACATATTGTCCCACCAGTGTAAGAACTTGAAAGAGTGAATAAAAACTAGGACATACAAACATTGTGAAACGAAAGGAAACTACTCAAAAGTAAAGAGCAACTGGGATGAGGGAAAAGAGAAAAGAAAGAAAGGTAAAATTATGTATATATGTATATACAGGAAAGCTAACATAGTTCTACTACTGACTTCTATCACTTTATTGAAAGGATCAGTTAATGATTAATTATTTTGATCAATCTTGCATTTCTATATATGTTTTCCTGAATAACCACTTTGAAGTTATCAATATGTAATACAACAACCATTGTTAATTCCCTGTCACCTTGTTTGTAATTCAGTATTGCTTGTACTATTCTTGTGCTACTTTGTAAATGGTTGTCTGTCTCTGAATATGTTTTCATTCTTTTACTTCTAAAATAAAAAAAGATAAACCTTATAATAAACTACTTTTTAACTCACTGCAGCCATATAGTCTGAGCAATTACATAGTTTAAGGATGGTGCATTTTGATATGTGTGAAGTTAATATTTTCAAGTAAGCAGTCAGTCTCTGCTTCCATCAGATTATAAGTTTTTTGTAATATCTTTATAGACACATGTTAAAATGTGTATGAAAGAATCTAAAATGTTAATAAGTTTATCTAATAGCTTTTGTCTTCATTTTTTAATGACATATGAAGAATTGACATAATTACCTCAATATTCCCTACTATACTATACTTTCTGTTACTCATCAGTATTCTAGATATTGGTTTTCTCTTCAACTGTATAAATGTCATATATTATTCATATGAGAATTTAAAAAGAATAGCCAAGCATTTTTGTTTAAAAATTAATGTTTTTCTAGAATTAAAGATGAAAAATGCAACTTTACATGTTAGATATATAGTTCTACTATTAAATTTAAGTTTCTAGTTTTAAAAATGATCCAACTTCAGTACAAAGTAATGCTATGTAATAATGCACATGCAATAGGACAAATTTTTAGATTTTTATCATTGGTTAAAGAATAAGTGCCTCAGCTGGGTAGGATGGCACACGCCTGTAATTCCAGCACTCTAGGAAGCTAAGGTAGAGGATCTCAAGTAAAGCCCAGGCCGGGCAACTTAGAAACTTAGTGAGATCCTGTGGGTATGTGTGTGAAGGGCTGATGGGTGTGCTGGAGATATGGCTGGGGTGCAGCTCAATGCAAAGTCTCTGGATTCAATCACCAGTACTGGAAAATGAAAAGTTCCTCATAAAGAAAAAATTTCCCTGACTAAACTGTTTAAAGTTTACACTTTTTTATTTTTCATAATTAAAATGTAAGATTAGCTTTAGTTAGCTTAGTGAATCAAAGTTTCCAATTATCTTAAGAAACCTTAGAAATACAAAATAAAATCAAATATTAGGTCAGGGTCTTAAATAGACAATAATCTTATTTAGTTCAGAGACAGAGTAGCCATTGCCACAGTGGATGAACAATTGCATTTGAGAGAGTTTGAATTCTTACATATTTGTTGTGTCATTTATTACTGATAATATTTTATTAGCATGTACTACTAATTTCTATTGGTTTATGGAAAGAAACAATTAATGCTTTTTCTTTTTTTTTTTTTTACCAATTTTACGGGCTTATATCTGGTAATCTGAACAACTACCTTGAGGACAACAGTATGCAATATAACAACCATTGTTGAATTCCTATCTTATTTTTTGAAATTCTGTATTGCTTCTAATGTTTTTATTTTTATTCTCTTTAAAATGAAAAAAGAAAAAAATGCATCTTTTTTGCTTAAATATACCTTATTCAAGGTATATCAAACTATGTAAGTCCATACATAGTTACCGCCTATAAGTGATACAGATTTAGGATTAATGGTGACTTCATAGCACATTATCTGACCTGAAACATTCTTTGAGAAGATTGTGTATTGTTATGCATCTTAAAAGAAGAAGAATCTTAAAAGAGTTTAATGTGAGCCTAAGTAGCCTGTGACTGCAAACAAAGTTAAAGTGTGCTCCTTGCTTAAGAGATGGGTAGGATGCCACCTTTGAAGGAGTGAACTTAGATGTTGTTGGAACCTAACACTTTAAATGAATGTGCAATCCCCATTAGTCTCTGATAGTTTTTTAGTGATACTAAATCATTCAGCTATAAGAGATGAGACAGTTATCTATAGCTGCTGTGGTAGTCAATCTTGACTGTCAATTTAGGATTGATTTAGGACCTGTGTACAGGATTAGTGAAGCACACTTTTGGGTGTGGCCTTGGGGAGATATACCTGGTGATCTTGGGGACTATACCTAGTCCCTTAGCCCGTTCCTCTAGGGTGCTCTTCCCCTGTCCTTTGTTTTCCAGACACCAGGAAGTGAGCAGCTTTCCTTCACCCCACCTTTCCACCATAATGTTCTTACCTGAGCCAGCCAGCCATGCATGGACTGAAATCTCTGAAACCGTGAGCCGAAATAAAGCTCTCCTTTAAGGTATGGGTATTTTAAATTTTGAGATATTTTTTCCCAGCATCAGAAAAGCTGATGAATACAGCTGCCGTTTGCCTCTCATGGTCTCTGGGAGGTTGTGTGCATACATCCCACTTAGACTGTCTGCTTTTTAAGAGAAGGTCCCTTGTTTAAAGACTGCATATACGTCATAGGCAGGAGATTGCAACCATTATTCTGTTGGATTTTTGTCTCTTTTTCTCCAAGCAGATTTGAGCTCATATGTCCCCACTTTTGATGCTGGAACTACTCTGACCCACCCTCTGCCTCTTTCTAATTTCTAGCCTAAATATCATTTCTTTTGTTTCACTGATCCAGGTTGGATAAAAAAGAATTTATATAACACAGAGCAAAACAATATAAAGGCTTAGAAATTAATCCATAAAGCAGAAATGTCTTATCCTAAGATGACCAAAATTTAACTTGACTAATGAAACTTGCTACAGTTTGCCTCTAGAGTCCCCAAAAAGCCCATGTATTAAAGGCTTGGTCATCACCCTCTGGTCCCACTGGGAAGTGATGGGACCTTTAGGAGAAAGGGCTAATGGAAGGAAGTTAGCCACTGGAGCTCTGCCTCTGATGGAAAAGTTGGGACCCAGGCCCCTTCCTGTCTCTCTGCTCCCTGGCTGCTATGAGGTGAACAGAACTTTACCATGTGCTCCTGCCGTGATACACCATGTTGTCACAGGCCCAAAGCAATAGGGCCAAGTGATCATGGACTGAAGCTATAAGCCAAAATAAACCTTTTTTAAGTTATATCTGGGATTTTGTTACTGGGACAGAAGGTTAACAAAAATCTTACAATTCTTACCTCAATATGTCACAACCATACTTCTTAACATCATGGCCTGATCTAGCTATCTTCATTGCCAAAGAAATATATTTTCTACATATTTCAAAAGCATGTCCTTCATGTTGAACTAGTGCTGATTTTTTTTTTTTTAAGTTTGAAGGGCCTTTCTAGTTCTGATGTGCTAGCAAGAAATTCTTATTCCTTCCAGGTTTCCTAAAGCACCAGTTTTCCTTCTTTCAGCACTTTGGAAAGTCTACATCAAAGGAAATGGAGTTTTGATGAGTGGGCAAATGAAATTAGCTCTCTGGGAATTTAGAACTGAGACAAGATCATTTAGATGATGATGAGCTTTGGAGTTTTGAGAACAGTAATTCTGGAGCTGAGTGTCATGTGTGACCAAAGGAGGATACTCTTGATAGCATAAAGCACTCACCTAGCAAGAATGGAAAGTAGTGTACTGCCTATTCAGAGAAACTGTTAAACCTTATAGTTTTTGTAAAGTCTATCCCTTTATTTCCTTAATTTCATATCTGATAGCCCCTTGTTTTCTGTTTTCTAAAAAATGCCTGGGTTACTGATCTGTAGTATTAAATACACTTGGCCCTTTATCCAATTTCTGAATAGATTCAACCAACTCTAGATAGAAAATACTGTACTCAGGAAAAAAATCCACTTGTAATGAACATGTACAGATTTTTCTTCTGATCATTATTCCCTGAACAATACCATGTAAGAATTATTGTACAGCATTTAGAGTGTATTAGGTATTGTAAATAATTTAGAGGTGACTTAAAGTGTATAGGAAGGTGTATGGTTATATGTAAATAAACTACTAAAAATACAATGCCATTTTATATAAGGGACTTGAGCACCTTTGGATTTTGGCATCCATGGAGTGGGGCTGCGGGTCCTGGAACCAAGCCTGTGGATACTGAGAGATGACTGTATTGTTTAATATGCATCCCTGATTAATTATTAGAGAGCTAGATAGCTGAAAACCTAGACTCACACTGTCATTTAATAAAGAATGATCACTAAAGAATGTTGATCTCAAATCAACATCTATCCTGTATAATCATTGTTGACATAAGAAAATAGTTTACCACATATAATCGTGCTGTGTTTTGCAACTAAAGACCACTTTGCAAAGACATAACTACATGCAATGGTAAAAATCAACAACTGTATAGCTAGGTTCACATTAGGTAATAGTCCCAGTATTTTGGAGAGACACCAGATCATTGGGATTGGTTTTTACATAGGGGTAGTTATGTGCAGATGTATAACATGAAAAAATGACTTCAGTTTTGGGGATGAAAAATGAGATTTTAAGAGAACAATATTTTCTTCATTCATCATGGTTGACCTGTTTCTCTGGTCATACCACTAAATTGGGCAATATAAAATTGATTGCTTTCCAATAGAAGGTCAAAGAAAAAGAAAGCACTGGAAAATTACAAGTGAGATCCTTTGTAGGCATGCCTGAGTGAGATTTAAAACCCGGTGTTTGCATGAGGGAAATCTTGTAGACCATAAAATTTCCTAAAGATCTTTGCCTCTTTAATCATTATCAAATAATTCGATTGACCCTTTAGACTGCAAAAATTTCTTTTTCCTTGGACTATTTTTAGGCACATTTTGAAATTACATTTTCTAGGTGCTATATTTCAACAAAAAGACTATATTTTGTATTTCTTACTGAAATATTTTTTCTTGCTTCCGTAGGTTTTCCCCAATGCTACTTCTACAAATAGCAGAAATCTAAGTCAAAGAAAATGGTGGGAATTTGGGATGACTTACTTTTTGCATCTTTTAATAGCATCATTCTTTCATTTATTTATTTATTTATTTTCATTCTTTTATTTTTACTTTTCAGAATAAATTAGATCTATAAAAGTCTGAAAGAGTTTTTATTTACTGGAGAGCCACAAACTTTGATAAGTTCCTTAGGGTTCAGTTTTAAAAATACCACAACAGGCATTTGATTTACCATACCAGGTCAAACTGTTGAGGATTTATGTAGACAGAAAGATATTATCTGTACATATGGAGTTGTATTTAACCCTCTTTTGGCCTAAACATGGAAGTTTGGGGTCTTTTCTCTGCTAATTAAGATTTTCATTAAGAATTTTTACTTAATTTCATTATTTTCCTTCATTAAATTCTTAACCCATGTCTCTTAATGTGCATTCTTCAGTGAGTTAGCATGAAGGATTTTTGTACCTGAAGGTTAAGCCTTTATATTATGCTGTGCTAAATGGAGTATTGAAACTTGTAAATCATGAAAAATGTCCCTTTTTTCTATCTCCTATTATAGATGCAAGGCATAATTGGATGTTGGACACCTTGTGTCAGCTCACTTGAACATGAATTTGATTCAATTACCTTTAGTTCTCAGGTCAAGGTCTGCATGCCAACTAGTTGCCCTCCATGTGCATATTTTTTACAATGGCATTCAACTGTACAAAGCTGTAAGTGCTACTAGAAGAAAACTAAAGTCACCAACGTGGACACTGTTCTTGAAGTAAAAGGGCACTTAATTACTTTGGTCTCAAGAAGTGTAAAGGTGTCCTTGTACATAGGGGCTATTAAAAATAAAATCATATAATAAAAAATAGATTAAAATTCAAAATATGAAATTGGAAAGCCAGAACATCCACTCCTTTTGAGACTTTATGATAATACTGAAGAGAGCTAGGTATAAAATTACTATTATAAATTAGTTACTCTATAAAATTCTATATGTATACATAGGACAATTTACATTTTATTCCTGTAGGTTTCTCATAGCAATTCCTGAAATTCAATTTTCTTAGCACAGTTGTTCTTAATAACTTCAAAATGAAATTATTCTCTCTGTACATGGATTATTGTTATTCTTGTGATCACACCCACAGATGGTATTCTTATGGTTGAAACTCAAGTTCATGTTCCTAGAGGTAGACTAGAAGTGCAGGGTTAGGCTTTATCAGGAACTCCACTTATTTTCAAAATATACAAAAAGTTGGAGAATTGGTATAATGGTTTCCATCAGCAGTGTCCCCCAAAAGTCTCATGTGTTCAGAGGTAGAGCTTGTGGAAGGTAATTGAGGGCTCTAAATTCATCTGTGGATTAATCCATTGGTGAGATCACAATTTGACACATTATTTGGAGGTAATGGAAACTAAAGAGGAGGACATGGGGGTATAACCCTCGGGACTTCCTAGATGCTGGCTGTCTTAATTATTTTTCTCTCATTGCTGAGATAAAATACCCAATGCCCCAAATTAAGAAAGGAAAGGTTTATTTAGCTCACAGTTTATGGAGGTTTCAGTCCATACTCAGCTGGCTCCAAGGCAGGGTGGCATGGCAGAGGAGCAACAGTTCACAGCAGTGGAAGACAGCAAAAGCAACAAGAGCAAAAAGGAGAGGAGAGAGAGAGACCAAGCCTCTTTTCTTTGCAGGCTACCCACCCAAGGGTGGGTGTAGCACTCATACCCATAATCCCAGCATTGGACCATGAATCAATCACAAACTCTAGAAGCCTGTCCCCATGACTGCATGAGGCTTTGGGAAACATCTAGACACAAACCATAGCATTCTACCCCTAGGCCCCCAAAGGCTCATGCACACCCCTTTATGCAAAAGGCATCTAGTCCATCACTAAGAGTTGCTGAAGTCCTAACAATAGTCCAAGCTCCAAGTCTCCTCTGAGATGTAAGGCATTCTGAGCTGTAAGCCCCTGTACAAATGAAAAGAAAGTTAAACATTTCCAACATTCAATGGCACAAGATAGACATTTCCATTCCAAAAGTTATAAACAGGGATACAAAGGAATAGGACCAAAGCAAGTCCAAAATCCAGCAGGGCAGACATTAAATCCTGTAGTTCCATCTGGAATATCTGAAACAATCTGTGGCAAGTTGTGAGCTCCGAAGAGTTTGCTTGATTCCTCCTCCATGGCACTTTCAGTGGTTATAGCTTCCACAGCATCTCTCTTGGGCTGGCTTTGCTCCCTCCTTGCAGGTTTCCTTAGATGACCCATGTTCCTGGCTTCTCCAAACTTCTGGGATTTCTACTACACCTTTGGCTTTACACTCACAGCTTCACATACTACCCTCTCAGGGGCACACTGCCTGGTCTCTCAGGCCTTTTGAAATTGGGGTGGAAGCTTTCTCAACCCCACAACTCTTGCATTTTGCATGTGCTTAAAATGAGCGCTATGTGGATGCTGCCAGCTGGTGCAGTAGCCAGGCTTTCCTCTCTCTTGGCTGTAGGGGTTGAGTGCCTGGATCACTGAACACTCTCCATCCAATTATGAGGAATAAATTGTTTATGCTGCAACTATTCTAGAACCTGGTGCAGTCACTGCTGCCATTCTGGAATATAGTGTGGCTGCCACTATTCTGGAACATGGTGCTCTGTGGCTTTTTCCTCAAAGTCTTTCACTTTTGCAATTTTGAGGCTGCAAAGGGGGGGGGATACAGCTACTTCTTGTGATGCCCTCAGGCCATCTTTTCTATTCTCCTGTTCCTTTTCAGCAATCAAGATATCACCTGCTCTGTCTTTGCAGTCCACAGATTTACTGGAGCTTACTTTCTGGCCAAACTCACAACAGTTTAAATCATCTTCCTAGGCTCCTTGCACTTGATTCTCAACATAAATCTGGCTGAAAGCCTTTAACAATAGCCATGCAACTACCTCAACATTCAGCTGCCTTGAATTTTATTCTGCCAGTTTAATTAGTCCACACCCTGAATCAGTCTCAGGCAAAGTCTCTGGACATGAGCAAAATACAGACAAACTTTTTGTCAAGCCATAACACACACTGTCTGGAGTCCCATAGCCAATGCAGTCCTTCCTAGCAGAAGCCTCCTGAGCCTGGTCTTTACCAGCAGGATTTCTATTAGCTTTCTGGTCTTTTGAGTTCTGACCAACATTTCCCATGTTGCCTAAGGCTTCCAGTGCTACTACTCTTTCAGGCAACATTGCAGAACCTTTCCAAACTCTTCCTACAAGCCATTCCCAAAGGCTCTTGAACCACACGGTCAGGTATAATCACAGCAATGACCCCATTGCTCTGATACCAAATTTTGTGTTGGTTACTTTTCTCTTGTTGCTGAGACAAAATATCCAATGCCCAGATTAAAGAGGGAAAGGTATATTTAGTTCACAGTTTGTGGAGCTTTCAGTCCATAATCAGCTGGCTCCAAGGCAGGGTGGCATGGCAGAAGGGTAACAGCTCATGGTGGTAGAAGACAGCAACAAGAGCAAAAAGGGGAGGAGAGAAAGAGCAGACCTCTTTCCCTCCTTTACACTGTACACAGGCTATGCACCCCAGGGCGGGTGCGGCACTCACACCCATAATCCCAGCAATGGACTATGAATCAATCACAAACTCTAGAAGCCTGCCACATGACTGTATGAGGCTTTGGGGGACCTCTAGACACAAACCATAACACTGGCCTCTCTCTACTTTCTCTCTTCTCCCTCCTCCCTCCTTTCTGGCTGCCACAAGGTGAGCAGCTTTCCTCTGCCATGCCCTTCCATGAGATTTCTGCCTCTCCTCAGGCCTAAAAGCAATGAAGCCAGCTGACTATGGGCTGAAACCCTGAGCCAAAATAAACCTTCTTCCTTAAGGGTGATTGATGTCAGTATTTTATCACAGTGATGGAGAGCTAACAGCTGAAAATTTAAAAATATTCATTAGCCTTTCAACACAGATAGTTTGAGAAGTGTTGGTCTAGAATATTGTGTGCTACATAATAGGTATTCATTATTACTTGATGAATGAATGAATGAGGCTATTGCTTCGTCAAAATATTTTCTTATACTCATGTTTATGTATTATACATGACAGGCCAGTATTTGTTACCTGTAGTAAGTTGACTAGCCATTGGGTTAGGAGGCTTTCACTTACCTTGAAAGTGCTTTTTGTGAAACTGAGTTTTACGAATTTAGTTTTCATTGTGGCTAACAGAAACCATTTTTTTATTCTCTCTAAAGTCTATCATCACCATCTATATGAATTATGAAAAAAACTAGAGAACACTGGTTAGGAATATATGACACAGGAAGAGAATATTGCCACTAATTAAAAGTTGATTGGAGTAAAACCTCAATTTGCTGCTGGCTAACATTTCTACACATTATTATGTCCACATTATACCACAACAATGACCCTCGGAATCCTGAAGTGTCTTCTGAACTATCAAGCAGGGACTACATTATGTTTGTTACAGTTTTAATCAAGTATATTTTACAGTATTTTAACTTTAAAAAATTAATTTTTAAATATAGCCATATGGTACATGTCAACCAGAGAATATTATTAACCAAATCTTTCTATTCATCCCCATAAAAGCTTAAGTACTTTAAATGACCACATATATGAGATTTTCTCCAAAAGTATCCATGAGAAAAGATTTGGTTTATATTTTAGTTCTTACAAAGTCATATTACAGAGCTCTCTTTCAGTTACGTGTCCTTGAGAGCAAAGTATAGCCTTGAGAAAACATTAACATGAAAATTATCCCAAACAATGCAAGCTTCAGATACTTGTAAAGGTCACCAGAAACTGCTAGAAAAAGCAAAGAAATGTCATATGAGTTTAATCATTTATTCCTCACAGTCACTAGCGGAGCTAGTATAAACAAGCTTTAAAAATATACTATATGGGATTACATTTCAGTAAAGAATAAACATTTATAAGGTGTATTAGATTTAGTGCTATGCCAGTGGATAATTTCTATAGGCATCTGTTATGGAATGAATTGTGTCCTCCTGCCCCCCAAAAATGTATATGTTCAAGACCTAACCCTCAGTGAGATCTTGTTTGGAAACAGGGCCTTTAAAGAAGTAATTAATTAGAAAAACATGAAGCTTTCAAACTAAATGGAAAACAAGCAACTGAGGACTAAACAAGGACCTAAATCCCTCTGAAAATGGCAGAGGGAGGTGGCAGACCATTCTCCTTGTCAAAGAAGAGTGATTCCAGAAGAATGAAAGGATATTCCTTGAAAGACTCACTTAACTTTATAATGCAACCTGAGACCTCTTTCAACACAAGTTCCCTCTTGGCGCTTTCCCAGCTTCACGCTGGAAGGTGTAGTCTGTCACTCTGAAAAATCTATCATCTTGCAATAAAATTACCTACAACCCTAAATTAAAAAGTAATTAAGGTTAAATGAAGTTACTGAGGTAGGCCCTAGAGAGAAGAGCAAGTCTGGACAAAGAAAGGTGCAGAGGAAAGATTATATAAGGACAAAGCAAGAAGAGCCAGGAAGAGAGAAGCTTCTGGAGTAAGCAAATCTGCCAGTCCCTGATGTGGGACTTCAGCCTCCAGATCTGTGGGAAAATAAAGTTCTGTTGTTTAAGCCAAGCGATCTGTGGTATTTTGCTGTGGCTTCAGCAGACTGATAAGGCAGGATAGATGTTGGTTCAAATGGTGGAGTATCCCAAACAAAAGAGGTGAAAGTGAAGATGGTGTGTTGTGGAAATCTACACGACTCAGTGGCATTGGCGGTAAGAAAAAATACAGAGGCAAAGATGTCTGTGAAGAGTTGGGCCGCAAGTGCTTCATAAAATAAGAATAGAGAAAGTGGGGCTGGGGATTTAGCTCAGCGGCAAAGCGCCTGCCTGGCAAGTGCAAGGTCGTGAGTTCGGTTCCTGGTACCGGAGGGGGGAAAAAAAAAAAAGAATAGAAAAAGCAACGTTTTAACATTTTTAAATATCAAAAGTTAATATTTAATGATTTCATCCATATCCCTCTAGGTTTTACTACTTCAGTTTACCAAAAAAAAACCTCTCGATGTAGCTTTTATTGGGGAAATGGAAGATTGTTTTATAATTAGGATTTACTCAATGAGTTTTTTTTTAAACTTAGAATAAAATATAGCCATGCAGAAAAAAAGCCACAAAATTATTTAGTTTGATCAAATTCACTTGGAAATAAAAACGCTATTGAGTATATAATTCACTTTATTAAAGTGAGTTTTAAATACGAGAAATGCTATTTAGATAAATTCGGTTAGGGTTGATCTACAGAGTTTATAGACATAGCATAAAGAGCTCTGTTTTAAGATAATACATTAAATTAAAATCCTCCTTTTATCCCATGCCCTGACAGCAGTTGCCACTGGGCATCCTTCTGCCTGGCACTGGGGCTGCCTGATCTACATGATGACTGTTTGCTGGTTCATAGGAAATGCTGGTACCCACTGAATATAAACGCAGACATCCAGTGATGTCTTCCCGTGTCTTTTGCATTGTGATGTCCTTTTTCTCCTTAAGAAACTGTGTATTTCTTATGACTTACAAATAGTCCCAAATTATGTATTTTCTTGAGTGTTGTTTATACAGAAGAAATTACTCTCTTCCCATTTCTCAGTGAGAATACCACATTCATTTAGAATAAAAACCTACTCCAAACTAGAGATGCATGGAACAGTGATTATGTGAAAGGAACACAAACACAAGTTTTCTAGCGTAATTCTCTCTATCGCAAAACAAAAATGAATGTATATATCTTTACCTTCTAAGTTTCCCTACCAAAAAATCCCACCAAATCAGAAGCTATTCACCAATCTGAAGGGCTTTTCTCATTAAGACGTTAAACCTTATGGGCTTTAGCCTGTAAGTAAAAATTATGCTGAATATGATTGGCTTTTGTGAAACATGAAGAGATGCATAAAAATAGGTAATAGACTATAAACTGAAGCCTGAATTTCTATTAAAGTGGGGATTTAGTGCTTGTAGGTTCCATGCAAATGAACATTAGGTGCTTCCCAATTCCAACTAGTTCAAAGAATATGGTGACACTCATATGAAGGAAATCATTCATTCAATTCCAAAGTTCAAAGAATATGATGACACTCATATGAAGGAAATCATTCATGTGAATAAGCATCTAGGATCTAAAAGAGGTTGAACTAGTGTGCCCACAACACTGCTACTGAGCTTTTTTGGAAGCTCTGCGTAACCGCATCAGCTGCTGTGGTGTCAAATTGCTGTAGCACTTCATATAATGCTATGTATACAACAGATGCTTAGCGCAGGCGTCTTATCAGTATAGTTTTGGAAAGCTGGAGAAGAGATAGCAAAGACATTGGTGGGAATGATTTTAGAAAAAAAATCTTTAAATTATTTTCATCATACTGTATTTCTGCAGTACATACCATGAAAAAGTGGGATTTACTGGATTAGAAGCATCTATGAAAAAATAGACCAGTATATTAAATTGAATAAAATGTACGCTGCTGGAAAAATGATCCTGGAGTATTTATCAATGGCATGTGTGTTGATCCTCATGCTCACATAGCTGCTTCTCTGACTCTTCCTCTGGGGGGAGCTCCTCTCTGAGGCCAGGGTCAACTGCACCATCATCCTGTCGGGCTTCTCCCCGTTATCTGGCATGTAGTTACCCAGGTCGTTCACTTCACCATCACTGTAGCTCCCATCAAGCATCACCGCGCGGGGCTGAGGAAGCCCACAAGTGCAGGGCAGCTGTGAAAACAGCAAACACACACCGGCACGTGAGCTCAGCAGCATCCCTCAGAAGCCCACCAGAGCAACCGCAGGTGCAGCGGCATCTTTCTGTAGCTTCTTTTATTCCCACAAAACAATGGTGGTGCCACTGTAAACATCCTTAAATCGCACATATCCATTTTTGTTGAACTGAACTCTGTATAGTGGCTCATAGAAAGCAGTACAATGACATACCAGAGGCAGACAAGAATGTATATAGTTATAGTCATGGTCCTGTTTTCCACGAGATGCTAAATACACCAGCCATTGATAAAAGCGTTTAAGACCACATTAGTGTGTGAGTGCGTGTGTATGGTGTGGGGCCGGAATGGGAAAGACGTGGCATTATGGGTTAGCTCACTACTCTGGTTAGCTTTTACCTGAGGATGACCATTGAGCTGCAGGCTGGAGGGAGAAAGGAAAGCCAGGTGGGAGGAAGATACTGTGGGAAATGATCGAAGATCTAGGAAGTGACATATGAGGAAAAATGCCCTTGGATGGAAGATGTTCATCCCTGAATAAAAATGTTCTTTGATTCTACCTCTATGTTCATACGCATTTTGTTCCACAATGTAAGCTGTCATCTTTCTTCTGGGATTCTGTCATGAAACTCTGAACATCAACATGATAAAAGGTCTGTGTCTTAGTTAAGGTGGCTTAGCGGCTCCTGGTACATGACAGGTGCCAAGTAAATGGTTTAGCGAATGAAAGATGTAGCCCAAGGGCTGGGGGTTTAGCTCAGTGGCAAAAGCGCCTGCCTGGCAAGCGCAAGGTCGTGAGTCCGGTTCCCGGTACCGGAGAAAAACCAAAAAAAAAAGAAAGATGTAGCCCAGACTACATTTCATACTGCTACACATCATTTCGTTTGCCCTTCACAGCCAACTTGTGAAGTGAGTGGAGGAGGGGGATTATGGCCCCACTTTACAGAGTCTGCCCTGCCCACAGTCTCAGAACTGGACCAGGCCCAGCCTGCCCGGACTCTCCCAGTGCTCTGGAAAGTCACCTTCTCCCGCAGCTTCCGCTCCTTCCGCTCCTGCACGGTGGTCAGGTAGTTGACGGCCGCATACTCCAGCACCGAGAGGAACACGAACACGAAGCTCACCCAGAGGTAGATGTCCACGGCCTTGATGTAGGACACACGGGGCATAGAGGCGTTCACGCCCGTGATGATGGTGGACATGGTCAGCACCGTCGTGATGCCTGCGCCGAGCATTGGAGGAATAAGCATGTGCGTCTTTCGCAAAAGTCTAGTGACTCGATGTCCGTGTCTTTGTCATTATTGCTCCCTCAGGCCAGACAGTCTCTACCCCACCCTCTGTCTAGCAAACGCCTACTTATCTTTCAAAATGTCCCTTTTAGGAAACTTCCCGTGTTCCTCTCTGCACAATGCACTACTCCCCACCTCTGCCTCCTGCCCTTTCCACATACATACTGATTGTAGTATTGATTCACTTTCTCCTTCTACAGAGAACCCCAAATATTTTGACATTAAGGCATTTCCTTCAATCATTTTAAAAAATAAAAAACAAGATTACAGGGTTGGGCACAGTGGCTCACACCACGGTGAGCGAGGTCAAGGGGGCTGAGGCAGGAGGAACACGGCAAGTTTGAGGCCAGGCTGGACGATTTAGTGAGATTGTGTCCAAAGCAAAAAGGGCTGAAAGACTAAAACTAGAGCCAAGTCTTTTACCATGCACGAAACTATAATGTGATCAGAGATCTAAATATTAAAACAGAAACACTAAATCTGCTGGAAGAGAGAATGGGTAGAACTTTTGAAGACATACGTGTAGTCAAAACCCCACATATATAAGCAGGTTTGTGTTTCTTGTAACTACTCCTCAATCAAAGGGAAGAAAGTGTATGGGGTTATTAATAATTGTATTCTTGATACTGTTGCAAAGGAAGTAGTCCTGGACCTCCCGTCAGGCACCTCTGGCAGCCACCCCTATATTGGACCCAGCTGCCCATCCAGCAATGTTGACTTGAGGACTTACAGGTCACTTCTACCAAGGACGATGGTGTTAACTTCATTTACAGGAGACCAACTTAAAAACTTGATAGTACATTTACTTAGCACACTAACTGTTCCAGCAGCAGAACAACCGCTAGAGGACAGGGCATCTGTCCATGGAAATTTGCCCAGGATTTCAAATTAAGCTCAGAACATTTGCTTGGTAAACACCAAATCACAGGGGATTGGGGTCACCCCAAAGGCCAGTTCCAATCCATTTACACTAAAACCTAGTGGGTCACACTCTTCCTTGCAGCCCCTGAACTTTCTGAGGGTAGTGGTGTGCGTGGTTAAGTGGGTACAACATTTAAAGCGAGAAAGGGTTGATGGCAACTTGCTGCTCATAGAGGAGAAATTTTCAGACTGCAGCATGTACAAGAATTACTTGGGAGAGCTTGTTTAAAAGTGCAAGTTCCTGATCCTCCCTCAGATTTTGATTCTGCAGATAAGATGAGATGCAAGACTCTTTATTTTTATTAATTTCCCTCTGAGATTCTGTCACTGAGACCCCTTGGACCACCTTTTAACAAGCCCTGTTATAAAACAGTACTCATCACACAAATGATCAGAGAAATCACTCAAAGACCGTGATCCTCCACCCTAAGACTCAGCTCTACCAGAACAAAGGTGAGCTGCTTGAACAGGTACCTGCGGGAACCTGGAAACGGTTTTGCTATGTGGAGTCTTAATAATGGGATTTTTACCTGTGAATCAATATCTTGGAGAATTTTCAAGTTAGAATGCCAAAAGGAATATAGGATCAATTTTAAAAGAATGGTTTTATCTGTAAGGAATTACTGTTCTTTCTGATACGTGGAATACACTGGAGATGGACCTTACCTAAGGGCACTCTGGCAGGCACGGCTCTGCGGTCGATCCAGAAGGATACCCAGGACAGCATGACCATCAGGGTGGCAGGAAAATAGGTTTGGAGCAAGAAGAAGAAGATGTGGCGACGCAAAGTGAAATTAATGTACAGGCGATTGTACCAGCCTGGGGGGTACAAAGAAAAGAGCACATATCATAGCTACGTAGCTCCCTCAAAAAAGACATTTTGTTCAGAGACTCATAAACGCCTTAGCCATTCCACTGGAGCCTTCTCATAGGGTGGAAGCGAAAAAGCCAGGGAACCAAGGATTCTATAATAACCCACACTGCCTGAGTAAATCCTTCTAGAGAACCCCCCACACACAGAAAAGCACAAAAGGAAGCCCTAGAGAAAGTTATTTAAACTCCTGTTACTCAAAATCTGGTCTAGGGCCCAGAACCCTCTCTGTCACCTGGGTGCTTATAAGAAATTCGGACACCTAAGCTAGAGCCTACTGAAGCAGAATCTATTTCATCATTTCCTCATGATTAGTATGCGTGTCAAAGATTGAGAAGCACTGATATAAGCGGTTGAATTTCTGTATGGGGGAGTGTTTTTAAAAACATACAACTATGCACAATATTGTATTTAGGTACAGAGTGAATGATCCCTTCCCAGCTATGCCTTGATCTGCCTTTGTGTTCTTTATGGCAAAAAGACGCAAGGAGGAGGTAAAAGGAAAGAAACGATAATGGAAGGAAAAGGAAAAGCAGGGTAAGCAGGAGATTAAGATTAAGGGCAGCATTAACTTGGAACTTGGCATCCTGGGTACTGACTGCATTGGACATGCCTCTTGGAACCAGCAAGTGATTGTGGAGAGACCATCAGCGGGCTGAGGGTCAAAAGAACCAAGCCCCATTGAGCAGTGGACACAGAGGATGTACAGCATTGCCATGCTAGACTGGGGTAAAATGGCCCTGTCATTGATTAGAAGACTATGCTGTACTTAAAGGTTGCATGTCCACGTACAGTCAGTCATACAAGGTTTTAACAACAGAAACTGAATAAAGATTGAGTAAAATTATCCTGAAATTATCCCGCTTGGTCAAAACAGAAGCGTGGGTGGAGAGAGTTTAAGTAGCACTGGCAGGGTCACTGGAGGAAGGCCACCAGGCATGCCCTCAGGCGGCAGGCAGAAGCCCTGTGTGCAGGAGTCAGAGTGCTGACAAGCCTGTCAGGAACCTTGACCCCAAGAAGAAAAAGCAGGCCCCCGGGAATGACTGGAGTTTCTGCACTCAGGCTCAACAGAGGGTTATACAGAAGAGTGGTGTGGACAGGGTAACAGAAGGGACTGGATAATAGTGGAGCTCGCAGGGGTGCTGGCTAGAGCAGGGGGAATATGAATGGAAAACAACACATTGAAATTAGACTTGTTTCGTGCTGTATGGGAGGGGTTCTGGTGAATATATCAGGGGTGATATCCACCTGCTAAGCTGTCAGTGTCAGTGTCTCAAATAAACCTACTGACATGGCTTATACGTGAGTCTTTACTAATACTTCCTAGGTTACCACTTCTGATGGATTGGTGGTTTAAGAAAATCACATCCACCCTATGCTTGCCACACACTAGACCTCATCTAGGATTCCCATCTTTGGTTTCAGATGCAAGTGACCCAGGTTTTGCTCACTTGACAACAAAATCATACCTTTCCTGAAACAGAGGATAAACATAAGCCTCCCAGGTGCTTGGTCCCAACTCCACACTCACCTGTGCTGCTGTAGAAAGCCAGTTTAGTGGTGGTGTGGAATTCCTGAATGAGGAACTGGGAGAGTGAAATCCGCTCATCTGTCTTTAAGGAGTCATTGCCTTTTTTCCAGTACAGCATGAGGTCATCTTCTGTATAGGCATCTGAAAAGAGGGGAGCCAGCCTTAGGCACTGCGTGGCTAGACGAGACTGGGGGCAGAAGCTATATGGGGGTTGTGTACTCTGATCTCCCACACAAACACCTGCATTGGAATTGCACTAAGATAGTTTGAATAAACTAACTGCATTCAAAACAAAGCAAAACAAAATGCAAAAAGACAAATCTGTTTCTCCCTGCTCTTTTGAAAGTCAGAAAATCTCAAGCTTAAATGCTCGTGGTTCCTGAAAAAAGACTCAGCCCAACAGTTTAGCCTGTAATTTTTAGGTTAAACAAAATGAAATTGCTATTTTGTAGATCAGAAGGGGTTAAACACTTGCAAATTTTTCACACAGTTCAGCCTTAGAAGTCAGGGGTCATTAAACTTTCTTTTCTTTTTACAAAGTATAGGGGCTCAATAATTGATGGCAAATACTTTTAAACATTACCAGGTAATAAGGATCCATGAAGACAATGGGTAGGACAAGACTTTCTTCTGCAGGCCTCCAGTTGCCCCAGCTCACCCAGAGTAAAGCTGAAATGGTTCCATGATCATCACACTGTCTGACGCTACCATTTTCCCCCAGGCCATGGGGGAAAAGGATTTCCCCCTTCAGGGGAATCCACTTCTTAGTCCAGTTGCACAAACCTACCTGCAGCCTGGACAGGACTGAGGTAAAACCTAATGGAGTCAGCAGTTCCATCTGTCCATGTGTAAACCATTCTTTCTGGGGCTTTCTGACACCATGTTATTCCCATTTTCAAACCCTTGATCTATGTGATAGATTTCTTATGTCAGCTTGGCTGGCTACCTTACCCAGTTATTCATCAGACACTGATCTGTGCAGGTGTTTTATAGATGTAACTCATATCTACAACTGATGGACCTTAGGTGGAGGAGATTATCCTGCATAATCTAGATGGGCCTGATCCAATCAAGCGAAAGGTATGAAGAGCAGAGCTGAGGTTCCCTGAAAGAGCTTCCATCTGTGGGCTGTGGCGCAAGCTCCTGTCTGAGAGTTCCTAGGTTGTCCTCCCTTCTACAGGCACAAGAGAACAGTAGGCCTCACAACCCTGGGGGCCAATTCCTTGTGATACATCTCTTACTAAGTATATCCTGTTGGTTCTGCCTCTCTGGCAGAATGTTGATTGCCAAAGCCTGAAATAAACTACGTTACAGATGGGGGCAGAAGCTGCCTGGTCAGGTGGGAAAAACAAAGTTCTCAAATAACATTTGTTATTTGAGCCTGGTTTTGCCTCTTAGTTCTGTATCCAAGGCAAGTTGCGTCCTCCTTTGAATGACAAGGGTCATAGCATTCTCACAGCACAGTGTTGCAGCTTCTCCACATCCTCACAATGTTCTCTGGGTTTTAAAGGCGGCCATCTTAATTATTGTGAGGTGGAGCCTTGCTATACTGATGTGCATTTCTCTGATAGTGAAGGTTGAGCATCTTTTCATGGTTTCTTAGCCATTCATATAGGTTCTTGGAGAAAAATCTTTTGAGTCCTTTGCCCATTTTTAAAGCAACTTATTTTAAATTGTAGAAGTTCTTTTACATTGTGATTATCAATTCCTTATCAGATATATGATTTACAAATATTTTCTCCCATTTTGTGAGTTGCCTTTGTTGATAGTGATGTGTGTGTGTGTGTGTGTGTGTGTGTGTGTGTGTGTGTGATGCTGGGCCTTGCATGTACTAGGCAAGTGTTCCAATACTGAGCTACATCCCCAACCACCTGATACTATCCTCTGATGCACAAAATAATAAAATTTTCATGAAATCTGACTTGTCTTGTTTTTCTTTTTGTTGCTTGTGTCTGTGGTATCATGGAGTTTGGTTTTTAAACTTTTCTAGGACTTACCTGTACCTGCACGTTTCCTGAGGTCTCTTGGTTGTATTTCAGTCTCTACTCCCGCATGAACTCCGTGTTCAGTGTCAGTTCCCTAGGACAATTGTTGCTAAACTTTTTATGGGCAGGAAATCACTTCTCCAGCAAAAACCATAGTTAGAAGAGCAATAAAATGGAGCAGAAACAAGCTGTCTAGATGGACTGTGTGAGTGTGTGTGTGTGTGTATGTGTGTGTGTGTGTGTGTGTGTGTGTTGAGCTAAGGAAGGAGATCCACATTTACATAGCAATCAACTCCCCCTCTCTGGCAGTAAAACTCCTGTGTCCTGTGTCCAAACCACTGTCACAGGACTGTAGAAAGATCAACTGTAGGACTAGAAAATTTTGGATCCAAATTCATTCCTGACTTTTAAAATCACTCTAAACTTAGAAAAAAATCACTTTTAAAAGCGTAGCCATGGGTGGGGAATCTTACTGTTCCTGCTGTTGACAGTTAGAGGGGTCTTAGAATTACTGAGAAGTTGTGTGCCCAGGCCTCGCACGATCCTACTCACAGCTTTCAATCTCAAGTGAGCACGTTTGTGTGTCCAGGGGAAATCGGCTGAAGTCCATGTTGCACATCGCAGTCACTGTGACCCTAGAAACAGGAAGACAAACCCAACTTTTCAGAGCCTGTAAGACAAGTACAGAATGATAAAGCAAACAGAAAAGGCTTCCACTTCCCTGCAATATAACTGCCTCTTTCTTATAACTCGTACGCCATGTGTCAGAATTTAGACAAGAAACTTATGCGTACCCTCTTTGGAGTATGGTTAGGGATTTATATTTAACATCAGGGTTAGTTTGCAGCAAATAAAACGTGTCCTAGTGTCACGGCACATTAAACATTTTAAAGAAGCAACAGTCTCAATCAATACAACTCTGTGAAATAAAGCTCATATGAATTGCCACACACGCGCGCACGCTGGGCCTGAGCCTAGGGCCTCATTCATGCCAGGTTCACTGAAATATCTACTGTACTAACACGCAGCACTTGCTAGCATCTAATGATTTTGTTTCCGAGTTTACACAGGAAAATAGGTATCTGCATCAAAGAACAAACAAATACAGATCATTAGTCATAGATCCAGGGGGGAGTTTTACAGCAGGACACAATTAGCAGTTGTTGGCAGGTATTAAATGCACTATTTTTCCTCTAACCACACAAAACTTGGTATGTATAAACGTGACCATAATCTACATAATTTATGCTTCAAAAGAAACACCCACACACTTTTTATTTAAATGGAAAAAGGAAAAGAACATTTTCAAAATGGAATTATCCAAATGTTTTCCTCACATTCCCTACTTCTTTGAGTGTGCTTTCTCAACATTCCTGGTAAAATCTAGCTAGTGTGATGGAACACCTCATTTGTGAGTTTTGCCTTTTATTTTGGTGCCTAGGAAACTGATTTTGCCACCCTGCTCCCTTTGCTCCCTGCCCTGCTGCCTGCAAGATGGCAGCCGCATCTCAACTTGCACTCTTTTCATTTGCTTCTACCCCTGTCCTCCACTACGCCACAGACACATTAAGAGTGGTATCTGTATCACTCATCTTTATGTCCTCAGAGTTTGAGTCAAGACCTGACAATGTTTTTGTCAAAAATCTGTTGAACATGGCTGGGGTGTCTCTCAGTAGCAGAGAGCTTGCTTACATGCATAAGGCTCTGGGTTTAATCCCCAGGTTCACAAAAACAAATCAAAACAAAAATCTACTGAATGGATGAAAGAGTGAATGAGGTGGGAGAACGATCAATCTATAGCATGAACTTGAGGAGCTGACCAGTTGCTGACAGTGGCCAGTATCCCTGTACTCCTCACTGTCCCTAAAATGAATTTCACTGCTCTCAGTTCTCAGTAATTTAGGCCTGACTTTTTCCACTAAAATCAAACAAACATATGCTTTTGTTTGTAATGAGAAATGAAATAATCTTTTAGGGGGCACAAAGACAGGGAAGAGGTGTCTCCCTGAACACACAGGGTTTTCCACTCCGTTTCCTCTGTCCTGCTTCTTGTTGTCACACCCAGTGGTGCCCCAAACTAGACTTCCACATTTGTTAGATTTTCCAGACGTTTGTAAACCGATTGTCAAGCAGAGCTATCAGTGCATAGTAAAATTAAACAAGTTGTTGCTATGGTTTGAATGTATGTGTCCCTCCAAAATCCAGGTTAGAATTTAAATCATGAAGTATGGGTATGAACAGCCAAAGAAGGCCTTTGGGAGGTGACTAGGCCATGAGGACTCCGCCCCCATGGATGGGATTAGTGCCCTTATAAAGGGACTAAAGGAAGCATGCTAGCTTTTTTCCCTCTCCCGCCTTCCTTCCCTGTGAGGACGTGGAAGAAGGTGCTACATGAGGAACAGGCCCTCACCGTGCACCAAAGCCGCTGACACTCGGATCTTGTCCTTCTCGGCCTCCAGAACTCTGAGAAAATAAATTTACATTATTTTCACTTATTTGTTTTTCTGTGGTACTGGGGATTAACTCAGAGCTTCAGATAAGCCAGGCGAGTGCTCTACCCCTGAACTATACCCTCAGTCCTTTATTAGTATTATTTTTTGTTTTGATACAGGGTCTCACTAAATTGTCCAAACTCAGCTCAAAGTTGGACACTTCCTGCCTCAGCCTGGCACATAGTTGAAATTACAGGCATATGCCACCATGCCCAGTTTAAATCTGTATGTTTTATAATTACCCATACTCAGGTATTATGTCAGCACAAACAGACTAAGACAATTACATTAAAAAATAGTACTCAAAGCTCATCGCTTCCTAATTGTGTAACTCCATCTTTCGGTCATCTGTGCTCCGCAGGGTGGGAGTGCTAAGGCGTGCTGTGCTGCTCACATCTCCTCCCGGCTCTGCTTTCAGTGACATCAGGTTGGCAGCCTGAAATCATCCGTGGTGGGGATATTTGCACTACGTAAACCAGCACATTGGGACTTGATTTATTGGTTTATTAATTGTCTAGACTAAGAAAGCATTTTAAAAATAAAAGTAATTTGTGTCTAATATTGTTAGATTTTTAATAGTGCAACACATTTAGGAAGCATTCTTTCAATATTTGAAAACTATTTTCCAACTTAGCAAAAATACTGCTTATTTGATGAATGAGTGGAGTTCCAACATAGTCCTTTGCTGTCCCATTTTTGTTTTAGTAACATACACAAAATTATCAACCAACATTCATCAAATCTACACTCAACTGTCAATCACACGTGAGAAAAATGAACACAACCATTTACTCATAGTCTGACCTTGCAGAACTATCACTGGGGATAGTGTTACAAAAACTAGTAATGATTTTTACAAGAAAAAATAAGCAATTACATTCAAATTATATGTATATGGAATTTATAATAAAGAGTATTATATATTACTCTTAGTATTATTTCATTTGTAAATCATGGGCTTTATGTCAGTAATGTTTATAATAAATTCTATGTCTATGTACTTCCCCAAGACAAGCAGTTGCTAAACATTTACTAGCACACCAACGGTCACATGTTTTATGGTCAGGTTCTTTGCAGTCTTGGCACTGCTCTGGGGTTGTTTTGGTGGATTTTGAACCTTATAATACCTTGACAACCTGTCAGAAATAAGGATTCCAGGAGAATGTGCCCCACATCCTTGACCCCTACAGGAGATGGTATTTGAAGCCTTGGAGATGGGAAATTCCATAATCTCTCTCTAAGTAGGGTAGCTAACTGCTTAGATTTCCAGCCAGGATGAGTACTGAGGGGTCCTTATAAATATTCCTTTGTGGATGTAACAGAAAGTCAGTCTCGCCATCACTGGCTCCAGAGATACACGTTGCAATCACCCAGGAAGCTTCTTCTTAAACATTAGTGTGGACGCTCATCTTTTTCATTCACCAGGGCACAAGCCAAAGCAGCGTCCATGAACCTGAACGGCACCATCTATGCCACACAGGAGGAGTAACTCACGAGTAACTGCACCCCTTTTCTGCGAGGACCTGAGCTCCCCTCCACCCTTCCTCTCTCCCTCCCTCCCTCCCAGGGAACTGACACCATGCCGCACGCTGTGTGGAGGGTAAGCTTCTGTTGTTCAGGTCTCCAGTGGCGGTGAAACATTTCTAAGGTATCTACGTTCATGAGAAGAAATGATTTCAGACTTTAAATCATAAAAGTGATGCTTGTAACATCATTTAATGTCATAAAGTGGCCCAGAGCCCCAGAGTTTTTCAGGATAGAAAAATAGACTGACCTGTGGCTGGCCAGATGGGGCAAAAGATTTTTTTTAAAAACTAAAATCCTAAATATATACCCCAAAACTGGGAACCACAGATCAGAAAAGGCAAGGGATTCTTTGTTTTTCAGACAGGGTCTCACTGTGTAGTTTTCAAACTTCCATGTATCCCAGGCTGGCCTCAAATTTGAAATCCTCCTGTCTCAAACTGTGAAGTGCTGGGATTATAAGCGTGGGCCACCACACTGAGCTAAATTATTTTTATTAAAGTAAACTTTAAAAAATTAAAATATATAGGATAAGACCTAAAACATAAGTAACATCTTGAGAAAACTCTCCAAATATATTTCCAAGATTGAATATGTCTTAAAACTTTCAGCTCATATGTAAAGTTAGTTTTCCTTGAGGTTGACAAATATGGCAGCTGCTGAAAAGTTAGACATTCAAAGCCCCAAAGCAAAATGGCTGGGGTAAAGCAACGTCTGTCCTGGAGAAGCTGCAGGACCTGCCTTCCTCTCACCTGAGGCTGTACAGCACCTTCCCGTCAGGCTGGACGCGCAGCATGACATTGTCGGTGGTGGTGTCGTGGATGAAGGAGCGCTTGGAGTGCACGAAGAACATGTCGGGAACCCAGATCTTCTTTACCAGGCGGCCATCGAATGTCATGCTGAGGTTGTTGGTGCTTGGAAAAGACAGCCTCTCATCCTTCCAGTAGTGCCTCAGGTACAGAGTCATGGTGAAGTCCTGGGGGCAGAGGGCAGAAGGAAACCACAGAGGTCAGCAGGAGAGTCCGTACCCAGGCAAAGCCGCCACCTGGCTGGGAATGGACCGAGCCCAGCCAGGTCTTGCTTCTCCATCCTAGGTTTCGTACAAGAGAGAGAGGACACTAAAGGGAGAAGGGCAGTAGGAGGCCTGTGGCTGACGGCTTCCGGGAGCCCATGCCACCCTGCCAGTGGCCTCTACACAGGGAAAGCTGTTGCTCCCACAGCTGACGCTCAAGCTGCAACTGTACAAGAGATAATGCCCTCGAGCCACCCTCGGTCAGAGAAGAAAGTGGTGGGTTAATGCTCCGGCTCCCTGCAACTCTGGGCTGCCTCATTTGCTCATTCTTGCAGAGACCCAGTCAGACTGAGCGCTAGAGGAATGGCTGGTTTGAGAGCACAGCCCTGTTGGCTTCTTTCTCTTCCCTGTCTCCCTTCCTGGCTCTGCCCTGGTGTTCCCCAGGAATTTCTCCAAAAAAGCTAGTTATCTGCTTCTTGGAGAACCAAAACCAAGGTGATGTCCTAAGAAGTCTGTCTTGGTTACTTTTGTTGTTGTTGTTGCTGAGACGAAATATCCAGTGAAGGAAGGAAAGGTTTATTTAGCTTCTAGTGTGTGGAGGTTTTAGTCTATATTTAGCTGGCTCCCAGGCAGAGTGGCACAAGGCACCGGGCACCGGGCACCGGGCAGCAGTTTATGGCAGCGGAACAACAAAGCATCAAGAGCAAAAGGGAGGAGTGGCAGACAGAAGCAAGCCTCTTTCCCTCCCTTATATTGTAAGCAGGCCACCCCCACCCAGGGGGCGTGTAGCACTCACACAATCTCCAGGCCCTCCTCTTGCACAGGCTCAGGATGAATACAAAGTAAGCACCCTGGCTCCCTGCTGAGCCACATAGTTAACCTTTTAAACTTTTTAAACTGACACAATAAACAACATCCCAGAAGGGTAAGGGTGGGTCCTTTTCACCCCAAGATGTAGAACTGATGAGTCACTTAGCCAATCCTCTAGACTCCCCAAGCTGACACAATGTATCAACCATAATGAAGTCCTATAAATTCAGTGTAAAATATTCCACATTTTGTCAAAACCCACCAAAATGGGAAAAAAGGGGAATACTCTTGATTTGCATTTCGACAGACCAACACAGAATCAGCAGTTATAAACTCTGTTATTCAGTTGCACAATCTTAGACCATGCTCTTTACATCTGAGAGCCTTTGCCCAGAGCACGCATCCTGACAGCAAAATCCTGGGGACTGGAGTGGGAAAGATCAAGTGTGTCGTCTGGCCCTGTCTCATACCAAGGGAATAGCTTTGAGCAAGTGTCATAATCTGCCTGCGGCATCTGTACAATGAATGTGGGAAGTCCCGCCTCCCAGGGGAAATATGAGACCATGTGGATGCACCCGCGTGGAGGTCCTAGCCAGGGACAGACCCGTGTGTACCTCCCTGCCCACAGCCCTGTCAGAGAAGCACTTACCATGTCGACCTCAGAGATGCTGTCCAAGCTCTCCACCTGTACATCCACACCAACAGGAATGGCTGGGCCTGTGGACAGGGCATGACAAGAGTATTTATTCTTTTTACTTAAACTTTAAACATAAGCAAAGAAGTATTTAACCTGGAACCTCAGAGTCACGTCAGATTTGAAGGCTTGGTCATGCCAGGCTGAAGTTAAACCAGAGATAAGAGAGTGGACGTGCGGGCTGGCTCCCTGGAGTATCCCAGGTCCTCTCTGTTCCCCTCCCAAAGTGTTTTGGTCTAAATCATCCAGGTGATTCTAAAACAATGAGGTTAATGCATAGCATTTGACTTTCATTTCGCATACTCATCCAGTACTATGATAAAGACCTAGGTGAAGGCTGGGTCTGATTTAAGGACATATCTGTGGCATGAAGCCATCCATTTATTGTCTGTATTTACTTCCTAACTTTCCACCCTCCTCCCTCACGGAAGCCAGTGGCTCTCGCCTGGCTATGAGAGGCATTGCTCCGGAACAGTACCCAGAACCCAAGTCATATTCGAGTCATTTGTCAAACTCACAGATCTGCATCCTTGCTGCACACTGGAGCAGCATGAAGTATCAGGATGGCCCTAAAACACATTAGATTTGGTATTATTTCTGGGCTATACACACTTATAGATAAGGAGTCCAAAAGCTTAATAAATAGATTTGGCCCTTTTTCTCTGCTTTCAGGATGTGGGTCAAGCACGGCGCACACTTGAATCATAGAATGAAAAGGGGAGTTGGATCCAAGAACAGCAGATTATGGAGCAGCGATTCTCTTCCAGAACCTGCTTGTTCTTTGGGTGTAGCGAACTGGAAGAAGTAAATGCATGAGAATGATTTCTAAAGCAAATATTTTTCTCCAGGAAAAATATTTGAAGCCCATAAGAAGGCAAACCCTCTTTGACACTAAGCAGGCAGAAACCCAGCAGCTGCAGGCTAAGCTGCAAAGGGCTTTGGCATTTTTCTGCCCCGAATCATTATTTTCTCAAGCTATTTTCATTTAATTAAACCCAGCAGACCACAATGTACCCTACACGCAGAGCTCATGTGCCAGCTTCCAAATGAGAGCAAATTTAGTCCAAGGTTGTTGGACTAAATTTCAAAACATTTTCTGGAGGAAGCTTCGGGCTGCAGCTGCCTTGTCTGTCGGTCACAGACAGCTGCTGGCCTCACGGACTCGGGGCTGTCCTCCTCAGGAGCAGTGGCCCAAAGAGCACCTGCCTGGCCTAGCCGGACTGCCACTGGCAGGTGCTCCTACGAGTGTGCTCAGCAGAGCCACAGCTGGGAAGGTGGACACTCAGAAGGTGCTGTGAGCTTGGTGCTTTATCTAGCAAGCACAACTGAAGCAGACCTGATCCGGGAGGAGCAGAGCCAGGCAGCTCTTGGGCTTGTGCTCCCACCCGCGGACAGCTACGAGGACCCTAAGGAAGAAGACACCTCCCCAAGGGCGTACATGTCTTACCTCCAAAGCCAGGCCTCATGCTGAAGTCATGGTCGTCTATCCTCAGCAGCTGCTCTGACTTCGTCAGCGGCGATTTGGTGATGTCAGGGCTCCGCTTCAGAATTGGGCTGCCAAGGGCCGGGAAGAAACAGGTCGATCACATGTTCTAACCAAGGCGGATAAACCCATTTGCGTTCTGACTTGATCCTGACAAGTTTGACAAGAGGCGTTATTTCTTCCTTTAGCCGCTGGACAGTCCCCGTTTCTTTCTCCAGCTTCCTGGGTAAATAAACTGACCCAGAAAGTCTAAGATAGTGATTCTTAACCACAGTGGAGGAGTTTTTAAAATAAGAATACCCAGGCCCTACCTCAGAGATTCTGATTTGGGTGGTCTGGGAAGAGGGCCTGGAAACTGGTATTTTGAAAAAGCTTCGCAAAGTTGGGAGTATAGCTCAGCGGTAGAGCACTTGCCTAGGATGTGCAGAGCTGCGGGTGTGATCCCCAGCAGCTCTGCTCCAACGGGGTGGGGTCTTCCCACATGATCTGAGTGTGTAACCAAGACTGACAACTACTTGTCCTGGTTGTACAGTGCCTCGGCCATTTCTGGGGAGGTGGGCTGGGGGAAGCCAGAAGGCTGGGCCTGGGTGCCCTTGATCTTTTTGGCTACTCTGTGGAGGGAGGGTGGACTCAGTCCCAAGTCAACTACCCTGGCTCATGGGAGGCAGCCTCTGAATTGCAGTTAGGGAAATTTTATTTACTTTCACTTTTTCTAAATAGGTAATATATTTACAGGGTTTGACAGATTACAATAACATGCAGTCAAAAGTAAGCCTCTCCCTTCTACCTCCTCCCTCTGCCTGTGTCCCACCGCCGTCCCCATCCCCAGGTTCTTCTCTTACTGGTTTCTAGTCTATGTGTCCAGAGTTTCTTTTTAATTTTTAATAGTACATTCGCAGTATATAACCAAAATTTCTTATAGAGATACATAAACATAAATATATATTCTTAGTTCTCTCCCTATTTTACACAGTTCATGTTATACAAGCTCTTCCACACCTGGCCTTCCTTTATTTACTATGCCATGGGTTTTTCCACACGAAGGCCCCGAGATGCTTGCTTTTTCTTCGCTGCATAGGTTCTTGGGAAGGACGCACCCTAAACTATGGCCGACGACAAGGAGTCACTCACACCCTTTGCCATTGCAAGCAAGACTGCAACGGCCTTGACCATGCTCCATTTACCCATCAGCGCCACCTTGGGGCCCTCAGAAGCCATTATCTTCCTAGCTCCTCCCCGTGCCGATACCCGGCTGCGGCCTCCCTAGCCGGCAACCACACAGGCCTGCTCCCCGCAGTGCTGGGGCTGCCCCCAGACGTCGGCGGGGCGTGGTGCTGCGTCAAAATCCCGGGGTGGGTCGCGGTGTTGCTCAAACCTACGTTTCTAACCTCCCTGCTCCCTGCAGTGCCTGAAGCAGGAGGTCTGGGCCGAGGCCCAAGAATTTGCTTTACCAACACCATCTCAAAGCCGCTGATGCTGCGGGGCAGGAGACGGCTTTGGGAGAGGCCCGCCCAAGTGCCCTTCGTCCTCCACATGCGCTGGGCCTCCTCCCTTGTGCCCGGCTCAGCCCACCGCTCAGTCCCTTAGCAAAACTGCCTGCCCCCTGCGTCTAGGCGACTTGTTTGCTTCCTTGAGACTCAATTTTCCCAATTGGTTAAAAGCAGAGCTTTGTGACTGGACTGGGTGGCAGGGTTAAAGGGGGCAGTGTGTGTGTGGAAGGACTTTTCAGACTGTAAAGTGGCCGGCAAAGGGAAGGACGTAAGGAGATCCTTCTGCAGTGAGGAAGGTGCCTGCTGCGAGCCGAGGAAGACCAGCCTCCTGCGTGTGGATGTGAGGAGGAAGCTGGGAACGCCAAGCCAGGGCGGGAAGCTCTGCTGCCCCCACACACCCTGTCCCAGGTAGCTTGATCCGGGAGCCGCCGCCACCTCCCTTTAGGCTCCCTTCCGCTTGTCCCCGACCTTTGCTTCATGACCCTTGCTGCAGATCAAGTGCGGGACAGACACCTGACCTTAGAACGGTATGCATATATTGATGGCCATACCTGCCTTGCTTGTGGGCATCTTCGTGTGCTTCTCGTCTCTGTCTTTGAGGCCTACTGTGAAAATAAAAAATAAAGACATCCTAGAGACAGGAAGGTACACCATCAAAGTACCTCTTGTGCCCTCCAGATTTGCCTCAAATCTAACCAGAATAAAATATGAAAAAAAAAAAAAAAAGAAAGAAAGTTCAGTGCATTAATTTACCTTCCCAACTACCCACAGGAATAGGGACTGGAAAAAGAATTATTTAGATAAGCTCATTTGACGAGGTCTGGCTTAACATTCCCCTCACTGATGGACCCAGGCCTGAAATTGGTCCCACTCTTGCAAAGGGTTAGTGCTTAAAGACTGCACATTGTAACTTAGGGAGATGTTTTCTCTTGGCCATCCTTGCCCGCTGGTGATGGTTTCATGCTGTGAGATGAAGCAGGAAGAGGACAGAGAAGTCAGAATATTTATTCCTCATTCTCTCCCCCGCTTTGATGCCAGGCACTAGCAGTGCCCGTGTTATTCTGCCCAGGGTAGTCATGGCTTCCTGCTCCGCCCAGTGTCGGCATCAGCACGCCTGGTGGGTTCTCTGCCCACATCTCCGTGAGCGGTCCTTTCATTCCACTACCATTAGTTAAGCCTTTTGAGTGCAATGCCGTTTCCTGCTGGGACTCCCCTGATGTACAAGGACACATTAGGGCAGATGCACAGGGATTATGTTATCCGTAGCAAAGTGGAGCAGAGGCAGGTGTGAGCTCTACAGGGCTGAGTCAGGAGGGGGGAAATGTAAGACTGGAGGGGGGAAAGCCACTGAGAGCACAGTCCTCGTCAGCTCCAGTGCCTTGCACAGAGCTGGGCCCAAAGGATTCTCAACACTTGTTAAGTGAAACAAGGGAAGAACCAGCTTCCTAACATAGGTACCTGAAAAGAGACAGGGGAGGGACTGTCCAAGGAGGTCAGGTAGCAAACAAACTTGTCCCATCCCCCCACCCCTTCTTTTTTTTCCATCCCAGAGATTGAACCCAGGGCTTCATGTATGCTAGGCACAAGGGTCTATTACTGAGCTGTATTCCCTCGCGCATTTTATCTTGAGAGAGGGTCTTGCTAAATTGCCAGGGTTAATGTTAAACTTGTAATTCTCCCACCCCTGCCTCCTGAGTATTGGCCCACTTTGGCTGTTAGCTTCAGTGGGACTGTAGCAGAACTGCATACTGACAAAACAGCTTTGTCCTACTCCGAGTTGCCATTGCTGTTGCCTATGTGATGCTTAGATGCTAGCCTAGAGAAGACTGAGACAGAAGATCCCTAAAATCTTTCCTATTATTGTTAAATTTTTAAATATCCACGTAAGAACAATTACAAAATAGGTTATGCATTGTAGTGGTTGACTGATGGTGTCAACTTGAGAAGTTTAGAAGCTTAACTAAGTCTACTCAGCAGTTCTACACCCTAGGGCTGCTCATCACCTGGACAGTATAAAAGGGAAATGACGAAGGCCACACTGTCTTCCGTTCTTTAGAGGAGCTCCAATCTTCACCTTCAGTCAGGAAGTCGTCTCCTGGCTTCTAGTGCAGACTCCGGCTTCCACCTTGGGTCCTTCAACCCTCTGGTGCAGACCCATCGGCCTCCTGATACAGACTTGCATGGACACTGCAGTGAGCTCCAGACCTTGGACCGGACCCTCCAGCCTCCAGTGTGCAGACACCCTCTGCACGCTTCCTCATCTAACTCTGTGGCTGACCATCGTAAGCCAATCTTGTAATCTCTTATACATGTGTATATCTTGTATTATATCTGTTCCTCTAGTAAACCCTGACTGATACATGCATAAAGGAGAAGTAAGGAACTCATAAATCATCCCTGCCATTCCATAGCAATCCTCAGAGAGAAAGTACCCTGTAACTTGCTTTAAACTCAAGTTTCAAGATTATTAGATATTTTTTCATGCCATTGGCATCTTTTACCAGCCATGGATATGATTATTTTAGGGGGGGTGATTATTAATGTCAAAATAAAGTACAGTATAACACCAAACAACAGGAACAAATAACACTGCTGGAGTACGCACTATCTGCCAGGATTATTCTAACTCATGTGACATGTGTTGAGTTATTCCTCACAACACCCTGTGAAGCAGGCTTGATTATTATCCCCAATTCATAGATGGAGAAACTAAGACACAGAAAGTTTAAATAACTTTTGAAAGCAATGGAGCCAGGGTCAGACCCAGGGGCTCTGTCTCCAGGGATTAGAAGCACAGGTGGCCTCCACGTCCCCTTGGAAGACTTGCCTCCCCCTGGCAGGAATTTGGGTTCAGTACAGATGGTCTGAGCTTGTCTTTCCTTTATGTAGAAGTTAGTAGGACCTTGCAAAAGTAATTGGTGCCAATAAGTATTTATTGAATGAGGCCCTGGGAAGCTGTGAAGAAAATAGAGACATGTCCCAAGTTAAGATGATGTAGGGTGACATTTGGGACAGCTCTGGGCACCAATCAGGGGATGGAAATTTTAGAAACATTCATTTTTATGTTGGATAGAATGAAAGATTCCCGCCTGTGGGACTTCTTGGCGTCTGCTTCTTGTAAGCTCCTACTAAGTTTGTACGTGGGTGATGTTTTCCCACAACAGTTCTGCGAACCCTCTAGGAGTGGGGAGAGAGACTGGGGCCTGTGATGAAGGGCTGCTAGAGGGCTCATGTAGCCACCCACAGAGCACCTGGTCAGTGCTTGGCCTGTAGCCCAAGTTACCCAGCTGTCACCCTCTCCTTCCAACCCTCACCCAGGGCCACTGAGAGCAGCCGATGTGCACCCAGCCTGGCTCCTCTGCTTGGAGGCGGAACTGCTCAGAGGGGCGCCACTTTCTGGTGTGCACAGAGGCTTTCTCCTTTCCCACTACCACTGCCTTATGCATTATTATTTCTCACAAAAGAAGCAGCAGGCTTCCCTGCCCCTGGTTTGGCCCTTCTCTAGTTCATCCATTGGGAAATCAAACTGGGAAGTCCGTTACGTAGAATCCTTTGGACACGAAGAAGTCCCACAGGCGGGAACCTTTCATTCTATCCAAAATAAAAATGAATGTTTCAAAAATTTCCATCCCCTGATTGGTGCCCAGAGCTGTCTCAAATGTCACCCTACATCATCTTAACTTGGGACATGTCTCTACTTTCTTCACAGCTTCCCAGGGCCTCATTCAATAAATACTTATTGGCACCAATTATTTTTGCAAGGTCCTACTAACTCCTACATAAAGGAACACTGGGAAATAAAAGTCACAATCATGCCACTTCCCCTCTTACAGTCAAATCCATAACAGATATAACTTAGTGGCAGAGCATCTTGCTTAGCAACCTCAAGGTCCTGAGTTCGATTCCTAGTACCAAAAAAAAAAACAAACAAAACAAAAACAAAAAAAAAACGGTCAAACCCATAGAGGCTGGGCATAGGAATACCATAATAAGGCTCCCACCTACCTTCCAGCCTCTCTCCACTCTATTTCAGCTTCTTACAGTTGCCAATTGTATCACTATGCTGTGCTCCTTGTGCGCTGTTTGAAATGTCCTACTCACCATTTGTCATCCCCCTGCTTTCCCACACAGCTCCATTTACCCCCAGGTTACACGCCACCTCCTCCTGGAAGCGTTCTGAAGCTTTTCTCCTTCCCACCGCATTCTTCACATGTGTACTTTCATTAGGATGTGTGCCATCCTGTAAGGCAGTGTCTTTCTATCTTTCACCAGAGTTGAGCTCAGTAGGGGAGGAACTCTGTCTTATACTGCTCTTGAGCCCTTTAGCAGTGTGTAGAGCTGACACAGAATGTAGGAGAAGCACAAACCCAACACTGTATTCCTGAGAGCTGAGAGGACTGTTAAAAAGTGTGTCAAGGAAGCCAAAGCCTAAAAAGACAACCGAAATCCTACAAGGGTGCAATCCAGCCAAGAGAGTCAGGAGAAGGAGATATGCTGGCTGGAGAAGATATGCGTGTTAACAAGGACAATAAGGCTGAGAGTCTGGTGACAGAACCTAATTTTATTTTGATATTTCCTGTCAAAGAGAATACTCTTCAAATGGAGAAGGTATAAAATTAGTTACATCTAAGGATAGTGAACACAATATCATGAGATCATCTGACTCTCGGCCCTGGTTGGACATCTGAGGAGTCCTCTGAGGAGTTCAGATACCAAACCACACCCAGAGCAACTAACTCAGAGGCTCTGAGGGTGAGACCCAGCCATCCACAGCCTTTTTTTCTCCTTAGATGGTTCCACTGTTTAGCCAGTGTTGAGGATTCTAATTTTTAAAAATAAGACTCAAACCTACAGATTCAGATGAATGACATCTAATGAAATTTAAGGACCTTGCAGCAAAGAAAACCTGAAAGATAGAAGGAGGCCAGAAGACTAGAGATGAAGAGACGCTTTCTAGATTTTCACCAAAGAGTACTGTGAAAACTGCTGGGGCAAAGCTCCAGGTTGATTCCTGGCCGTGTTCTAGAACACTGACTATAAAAAGTCAGGAACGTTACTGTGTTGGATCATGTCAGAGACGTCAGATCGGTGTGTGTCCAGGCAGAGTAAGACACCCTAAGCTGTTCACATTCCTGGGAGGCGCCTCCACCTTAGCAGAGCAGAGAAGTGTTGCTGCAGGGCGTGCAGAGTATACAACTGTCCCCCAAACAAGGAAAACCCCTAAGAACGGATACCTGCCCAAACGTTCCTCATCTGTGCCCGGCACAGGGTGGCATAAGTGAGGCCCGGAGTCTTTGTGAGCTTACAATAGTCAAAGTGTGCACACCCCGGCTCACACAATCCGAGTAACACCCCAGAAGTGACAGACAACCGACTCTGTAGTACAGAACAGCCTGAAGGATGTCAAGGGACTTGTCCAAGGTCACAGAGACAGTACTTTGTAGCGCCAGGCCCCAAAGCCAGTTCTTCTTACTGTGTGGGAGCAGTCCTCCTACCACCGTCTCCTCGGGCTTGCTGGTAAATTCTTGGGGTTGGCTAGAATGTTTGTACCAAGCTGCACCCCAAAGGAAATCTTCACGGGGACAACAACCTGGGCTCCGTCTTA